AAGCGTTGAGGTGGGGTCTGACGCCGCGGGAGCCCGCGCATCCGGACGTTTCCGGAGGTCCTACTACGTGCCCGTGTAGTTCCAGGCCTCTGCCCTCGTGGAACGCAGAATCTAATGAATTAGATACGGGCAATTATTAGACCATGGTTACTGAGTCAATATTTATCCCATTGCCACTAGAGTACAGCGACATATGCTAAAGGTGAAATGATTTTTTAAAAAATCTACAGATAGCCCAAACCGGTTTGGCTCAGTGGATAGAGCGTCGGCCTGCGGACTGAAAGGTCACAGGTTTGATTCCGGTCAAGGGCATGTACCTTGGTTGCGGGCACATTCCCAGTGGGGGATTTGCAGGAGGCAGCTGATCGAGTTTCTCTCTCATCGATGTTTCTAACTCTCTCTCTCTTCCTCTCTGTAAAAAATCAATAAAATATATTTCTAAAAAAATCTACAGATATAATTCATTCGACAAATATTAAGCAGGACATGGCGGCTGCAGGTATGCACAAAACACACTCTAGCCCCACGGAGCATCTATGACTAAGACAATCCAACAAGTAAAAATATACAATATGAAATCTGGAAAGAAATCAGGTTGCTGCTGCAGGAGAGACCCGAGTGGTCCCGGAGGCCCCCCTCCAGAGAAGGTGATGGGTCAGGGAGGTAGTTGTGGGCTCTTTAGAAGTCTGTCCCCAGCCGAAACCGGTTTGGCTCCGTGGATAGAGCGTCGGCCTGCGGACTGAAAGGGCCCAGGTTCGATTCCGGTCAAGGGCATGTACTTGGGTTTCGGGCACATCCTCAGTAGATGTGCAGGAGGCAGCTGATCGATGTTTCTAACTATCTCTCTCCCTTCCTCTCTCTAAAAAATCAATAAAATATATTTGAATAATAAAAAAAAAAGAAGTGTGCTGCTATCAGAGATTCCTCCTTGTGTGTGGGCCACCCTTGGAGGAGAACAAGCAGAAACAGGCCCATTTTCAGCCCTCTCAATGTCACACGGGCAGGTTGGCTACAGAATTTGCAGAGTTCAAAGTTATTAGGAAATTCACATTTGATAGGAGAGCACTTAACCAAGTGTGGGGCCTTTCTGAGCATCCAGCCGTGGCCCTCAAAGCTGGCCCTGGCACCAACTTCCCCCACCAGTAAGTAGGTCACACCATGATGCCAGGCCAGCTCTGGGGGCCTCAGACCTTCTGCATGTTCGGGCACCATTGTGACCCCTGTATCGTTGGGAACTGGAACTCTAAGTGGGGTCACTTCTGGCCCCAACCCTATGGACTTCTCTCTGGACAATGGGACACAGGCTGGGTCTGTGGGGACACTAGTGACAGACACTAGTGACACCAGGCAGGCTGAAGAGGAAGGGATGCAGGCGAAATGTTTGCTAGTTATTGAGGCTGTGTTTGAACCCAGGTCCACTCAAACCTGTCTCAAGCCCCTGGACTCCCTGACCCCAAGATCCAGCCACTGAAGTCTGATCCCTCCTTCCCAAGCCCTAACCGCCTGTCTTCAAAGAGCCTACAGGGAACACACTTTTCTGTGTCAACTCATTTCCCCCTTCTCTTGTCACTCACTGTCCCTCCGACTCGCTGGACACAACACTGCCTCCAGGCCTTTGCCACATCACCTGGCAAGCAGAGGGCCCTCGGGGAAATCCATGAGTGAACGCACAACGGAGCGAAGGAGGTGAGGAGAGCTCTCAACCGGGAAAGGGCCCCTCCGACCACCCTTTTTGAAAACTTTGATTACAGTGTGACGAGCACTTTTCCTCCCTGGCTGCTAGAAGAGCAGCCACCATCCGTGAACGACACAGTAACTATCGAGTCCAGGAAGTTCGGGAACAGACAACTTCAGGGAAAACAAATGGCCATTGCCGTCCTTCGCCCTGGGAAGGTAGCAGCCCAGTACCTAAGACAGAAATTCAGGGGAAACTAGCCTAAACGCAGTATAAGTCCACACCGAAGTCATCTTTGCATTTGGGTTCAGAGCTCATTTTGGTGGTGGCAAGACAAACTGGCTTTATAATTCCTTGGATTAGGAACAGAAGCATGAACCCACACATGGACTCACAAGACATGGCCTGTATGAAAAGAAGACCCAAGAAACAGAGAAAGGAACGCAAGAACAGAATGAAGAAAGTCAGGAGTCTGCGAAGCCAATGATGGAGCAGGCAAAGAAAAAAGAGTAAAGATTCTCCAGTGACTTCATCTGTGGCGACTGTGCAGATTTTTCACGAGAGGATTAATACACTAAGAACTTTTAACAAATAAAATAAAGTGTGACCTACACTTGTTGCGCCAGGGACGACGGCCACTGCTCGATCACGTGATCTTTTGCAAGCTGGGTTCTTTCGCTGAGCCTCAGTTTCCCCTTTTGTGCCAGACAGGTTCTGAAGCTTTGGCCAGGAAAGGCTGGGGCAGGAGCCGCGCGGCGCCCTTGGCACACTCCCAGGCGGGGGGTGGGGTGCGGGCGGCGGCGACACCGGAACTACAAATCCCAGCGCCGCCCGCGCCGGCCCCACCCTGCCCCCCCTGCAGC